ACTCCCCCGCCCGATTACGGAGCGACAATGTCTAGGAATCACTACGGATCGCGCCTGCCCTAATTCGTCCACGTCGGAGCCACGGAGGCTGCCGCGGAACCCAGGCGCAACACCAATGCGGATCGCGTCGGCACGGATTCGTCCACGACGGATCCACGTAACCCACCGCGGAAACCAGCGCAAGCCCGAAAAACCATGAGATGAACACGTGGTGACTTGCCAACGGAAGCTCGGTCGCGGGAACAATTTCACGCGTTTCGAAGGGCCCACATCGGAAAGAACCTAGGCGTGACAAACCGTGGAAACCTGGATGCGTGCCATCTGTCTCCCTGGCGCGCAATGATCCTCGGACTTGCTGGAAACTCGACACCTGGCGACCGTGGCCACAGGCGCGCTCTGAAATCCGTGGACACCTAATATCTCGCCACCTCTCGGACGTCGCCATGCGCGTGTTCCCTTCTGCGAACATCGCGAGCCCTTGCGAGAACCCAGCGACATCACAAGTGCACATGTAACTATTTCTTTTTCCGTTGCACACCTCATCTTCGTGCGCTTCTCATGCAGAGCTTTGGTCCTTGCGCGAAACGTACATCCACCCGTGTAATAGGCAAGACGGCGGCGGACAACCATCATGCAGCGCGTGTCGGCTGCAAACGGCGCAATCACCTGGTTTCGCGCCATGCATGTTGCTCTTTACCACGTGAAAAATGGACCCACGCTACATGCAGGCCATTGCCTCATTCTTGTCGGTCAGCCCGAAAACAAAAGCCATGGACACGCAACCGGCCCAGGGTTTGCCAAGCACACGCGGTGGGGGGTATACCAGCGTAAACGTCATTCTGTTGGCTCATTTAGAGTTTCTCATTTTCTATTCTACTTCTGCGATTCACGACCAGGCTTCCTGCACTTAGACTGTTAAGCTACCCTACCTCTCGTACTTAGTCGTTTCAGCATCATGGCGCGTGCTTCCGCACTTAGACGATTTATCGACAGCCCACTCCCTCAGATTTGCGCTGGCGTTGCTTTCGTGTCAAATGCCCTCCGCGAAAATGAACAGCTCACGAAGTGTACGAACGACACGGGCCAACGCACGAATACCAATCCGAGTTTCGTTCCCATCTTGCAGCAGCCGCTTTTCGGTGGTAATCAGGTAGGTACGGGCGCGAATGGAGTCACCAGTATTTTCGAGCACGTCGCTGCAGCCGCTTTACATAGATCACGTGTCTCGCAACACCACGCGGGGTACCAGTGGGGAATGCCATTAGGGTTACGACGACCCAACGACCCAGTGTTTAGGACTCCCAATTGGGCACCAAATCCTCCACCTCAAACTTTCGCGTTCGCAAACAACCCCGTCCCACCAATACCACCGCAAAATGTCCCCCTTCAACCCAGTTTCGTACCCCTGCAAACGACTCGAGCTGGAGTTTTTCGCGGACCCCTGTTTAGCGTACCAGTTTCGATTGCGCGCAAAGCAGCCCAGCCACCATCTCAGACACGACCTGCGAACACGAATGCTGGGGTACCACCTTACCAACAGCCCGCGAACACGAATGTAGGGGGGCCATCTCTTCCACGGCCTGCGAACACGAATGTTGTGCCATCACCCCAGGCACGACCCGCGAACACGGATGCTGGGCCACCATCGGGTTCAGCAGCCCCAGAAGCTGCAGCCACGGGCGTAGACGAACCCGTGGCTGAGGACGAACCCCAAGAATTCCCCAATCTCGAAGTACCTGTCGATGAGGCTACAGAGCAAGAAGCGGCTGAAGTGCGTCGGACAATCGACGATGACGACGAATTGGCCAGGGAGGAGGCCGGTCCAACCCTATCCCCGGCTGCGCAAAGAAGAATAGGCGCCACGATTGCGAACTGGCACGCCCTACCGGCTGGGTCCGAAATGAAGGACATGAAGGACAGAATCGCGTTCGTGCGCCAGATTCTCGGGCTTCTAGAAGAGTCGAAGCGAAAACAGTATTATTCGTGGATTTCGGAATTCAAGCGTTGGTGGTACAACGAGGTCGCGTCCCTCCCGCCAGGAAACTATCCACCAGACGCGAAAATGGAACACGACGATGAAGTGGGTGTGCTGGTCGGGATGGACAGAGGAGACCGTTGGCAATTGGCGCCAAAAGAGGACTGCTGGCTCCACGGTCCTCGAATCACACCTTGGCGTTTGAAGATGTTCATCACCTACTGCACGACTGAAAACAAGGAGCAGGCAGAACTGCTCGCGAGCCTCAACCCGTCGACGCCCGTTCGGAAACGGGTCGCTTGCACTGTCTCAATGGTGATGGGACGTTTTCGCGCTTTGAAGACCCAATGCCGTGCCGAGAGTGTGCTCTTCGAGTGTGAAGACCTTGCCGCAAACGTCGAGCGAGTCCGCGTTCTTGTCGGACTAATGCTTCGAAACCAGTTCAAGCGCTTCAAGGCGTGAGTATTGACACACTAAGTCAACCGTTGTTCGTGTTCGTGCGTGTACCATTCGCGCCATTTCATTAACGCGGAAACAACCTGCTTGTTCGTGTTGGTGCGCAGGGATTACATCGACCGCCATCGTGGAACGAACGCGGACGTCTATACACTGGACCAGTTTAAGCTCATGATGCAGAAAACGTGGCCCGAAGAGGCCGTCAAGTGTTTCGTGCCATTCGCGAGAGAACCCTCGAACGTGCTCCACCGAGCACTAACCGCAAAGGCGATGTTGCTTCTGAGCCATCACACCCTTGCACGCGCAGGGACCATTCGTGGAATCCAGCTCCCAGACCTCATCTTTGGCAGAATGGGGAGTCTTACGGACTTGGATCCGGTAGGGGAAGCGGTTCTTCTAACGGTTGCGACGCGGAGCGGGAAAACGAACAAGAATTTCGGGCTACACAAGTATGTCGCGGCAAGAAACATCGACTTCATGTGCTGCCCGGTCGGCGAAGTTTTCAAGCTTCTGCATTGGTACACGGACCAAGTACCCTTGTATTACAGGGGCGGTCGTAACTTGATCCCGCCGCTCGATTTTAGCGAGCCAAACAAGTGGTACGACACGTACCTTTTTTGGCCGCACAGCAAAGGCTACAAGGCCGAGGTTCCCCACGCGACGTACGCAGACTGGGTTATCTACGGCTACGGCGAGGCGAAGGTCACGATAGGCAAGGTCACGCATGCACCGCGTGCCAGCAATGCGCACATCCTGTCCATGGCTGGTGTCACGGACAAAGAGATCGCCAGGGCAGGCAATTGGACCACAGACGCTCTGACGATGCACTATTTGCCAGGGGTTGCGCGAATCACGGTGCTTGCATCTGCAGGCTATTCGGGCGAGGCTGGTGATTATCACGTCGGCCGTTCGAAGGTCAAACCGTGGAGACACGTGCAGGATCTCATCAACGAGCACATTTTTCCGTGGGTCGAACTGCAACTGTGCCTGGTAAGTTTCCAGTGGGCGCGAAATATTTGACAATCGCGTATACCAGCTAGGTTTCCGTGTGACATTGGTGTGTGGTCCACTTTTGAATGCTTTCGAATCCGCGCTAATTCGTGCAGGCGAAAGCGTACAACGACGGGCAGGAGCGAGGCAACAAGGACACGGCGACCATTCATTTTCTGGAGGCATTGAGGGAATTTGGCCGACGTATAGTTGCCGAAGATCTTGCGATGCTGTTTGTGCACATGCCTGATCATCCGTACGTCCAAGTGTCACCATTGTTCAAAGACCCACAATTCAGGATGTGGGCCAGGTTGGTGGCCTGGAGGGACGCGGTTGGCATCGCGCTGAGAAGCACTCCAACCAAGCTGTCAGAACAGGTAAGAACTTCTCCGGTTCAATGCACGAAAATAGCACAGCGAACAGTCTTTCGCGAACCATTCTAACGAGTTTCAACGTGCTGCAGGATGTCTCACTCCGGGTCCACGCGCAACATTTATGCGTGGAACTCAAAGCCGAGCTTGCGATGGAGAAAGAGGGGCGTGCCAAGGATATTCTGGAGAAAAAGGTGGCTCAACACGAAGCTGCGGCGCTGCGGAAGACGGTGGAAGAGCAACAAGCCACGATCGAGGAGTTGCGTGGCCAGTTGGCTGGACTTTCCACGGAGAGCGTCCGCACGGACAAGCAGCACGTCCGCACGAAAGATCAGCCCGTCCGCACGGACAATGCGCAGGCACCGCGAATTCTTGAACCTGCGAAAAAGGAGTTCATGGACCAGGCGCTCGATCCGTGGGTCAATTCGGAAACGGTCCCTGAAATGTGGCAGTTGTTCAACACGCGGGTTGGGAACACTGGAATGTCCCTGCGTGAAGAAACTGCACGCGCAGGCTTCGGAGCGAAGTTCATGCTGCCACAGAACGAGCGAACTGCGGTTTCCCGGGCGAAAAGGGTGATGCAAGCCGTGTGTGATTACGCGCGAAGGCCTGGAATCGCGGGCATTGACGGAGCCGTGCAGAAGCTGGACATGTCAGAGGTCGGATTGGCATGTCGTCGTTGCGTGATGGGCTCACAGTCACGTCGGCAAAGCCAAATGCCGGCGACTTTTCCGACCTGCGTCGCAACACGACCGTCTGCGCGAACGTGAAAGTGGCTATCGCGCTTGTCCGAGAGGAATTGGAAACCGAGGACTGGGCACGAACCAAGTATTCCAAGAGTTGGGACGCATGGGTGGAATTCGTTGAGCCAAAGAGGAAACGTTCACGTGTTGAGTGAAATGTCTTCGTGCATGCAATATTGATCAGTAAAACTCTCCCGTCGTAAGCATGTTACTTTTCGAGGATCTAACATTCTCTGTTACCTAATTGTGTATTACGTTGTTTAGGCATCTGGTGGTTTTCATTCCAAACAGGTTGTCACGAATCCTAAACAGCCATTCGGAAAATGTTAACACGAATCCTAAAGGAGCAAAGATCGCAGGGTTGTCACAAAAACACGAAAACAAGACCACCAACAACGAAGTTAAAACAGCAAGGGTGGAAACTAGCCATCAACCACGAAAACGAGCACAGCAATGTTGAAAACTTTAGTCATCCTGTAACTCGACAACTTCTTCCCCGCCCTCTTCACGCGCAGGAGCAGGTGATGCCCGTTTCGGGCGTGGACGAACTGATTCCCGGTTCTTCGCCTTCACGCGCTCCGTGCTGCACAGCACACACAACCCCAGCTGTGTCATCCGAGCCTTCGCCCCCGGCTCGTGGTTCCAGGTAGCGACGACGTCGACCATTTCGGAAATTATCGTCTTGAGGTTCGCATCCGGGCCCTCCGTGAAAGAGTTGTTCACCAGCTGCTCCATGTCTTCGCCCGTTGGAGGGGTGGTGGTGGTCTTCGCGCGTGTCTTAAGTGCGGCCAACATGCGCTCCCACACCAGTTCGCATCCCGCCACGTTGACTTGGGTCGCCCCAGCCAGCTTCGCCGCAGCCTTCCCCTCCTTCACGGCCTGTGCTGAGTCCACACCAGCCGGACCTTTGCACCACGTCCACACGGCTGCACAGGCGAATGCCACGGCTCCGGCGATCGGCCCACCAACATCTTTCACACGTCCTGACGGCTCATCCTCCGCGACCTCCAATCCAGACGCGGCAGAGCACGCGGTCTCGTCCACAGGAGCCCGCGCACCATCCTTAAGTGCGCGAAACCGGTTGAACAGGCTCCGCATCCTGTAATAAAAAAAACCGGATTCGCGTAAATTGCACGTTTTCGCTACCGTTACACAAACGCGTACGAAGTTGGTTCACACACCTTTTCGCGCTGTTGGTAAGACCGCGAAGATACAGGGTTGCGAACAGACCCTCGTGCATCACACGAGCCACGTCCAGATCCGGGGTCCATTCCGCCTCTTCGTCGGGAGTCAACACCATCTTGTCCGGTTTTACGGTTTTATACCACACTGTAAGCGCGACAGCACACAGAAACCGTCCCGCATCCTTCTGTTCGTGATTCCCAAGATAGCGACGGACACCAGCGTGATGCAGCTCGAGAATCCATGCCGTGCCATTTGCATTCGCGCGAAGACCAACACACAAATCGCTTTTCGCGGCCCTCTGCTTCTCCTTGCCTTTTTTGGTTCCGCCTTTTTCAGCTTCCAGCAGCGCCATGTATTTTTCGAACGCATCATTTCCTCCTTCATCGTCCAGAACCGCGTCTCCTTTCGTGGTCGTGTCTTCGTTTCCTCCCCCGACACCTTTCGCGGTCACGTCCCCTTTCGCAGCCACGTTCCCTTTTGCAGCCGCGTCCCGTTTCGCAGCCGCGGTCCCTTTCGCGGTCACGTCCGGCTGCGCCACTTTCTCACCTCCCGAAACGTGTAGGGGTGAAGACGCGCGAACCATTGCAGAAGGAAGACCTGCGATAGCGAACGGCACAACGTCTGATGGTGGTAGCTTCTGCTTCTTCGTCATGGGAGGGGAGGGGGGCGGGTTCGAAAGCGCGGGTGCGAAACTTGGTCCGCCTGCGAAACCAGGTCCGGTTGCGAAATTTGGTCCGCCAGCGAAACTGGGTCCAGCTGCGAAACTGGGTCCGGCTGCGAAACTGGGTCCGGCTGCGAAACTCGGTCGATGCTCAGCCGGATGACGGGCGCCACCATAAAGTGCTAGCGCAGCAAGAGCTCCGCGCTCGGCTGCGGCTGTCACGACTGACTCGATCCCCACGAATTTCGCCCACGCCTCCTGCCGCGTCTTTTCAGTCACCTCCGCGATTGCAGAGGCGAAGAACTCCCTCAGGCCGGACACGGTTTCCTCCAGGCGGCGAATCGCTCTCTCATTGGACTCTCGCTGCGCGGACGCGGAGGCATGCTCCTTCCTCAACTCCTTCACGCATTCCGCAATCTCGTTGCCATAACGCTGCTCCATGTCATCCAGCCCCTTTCCAGATTGCATCGACTTCGACCACAGGGATTTCATCTTGTCTATGAGTTCGTCGAGTGAATCGGACAGCTCACGAACGCGCTTTCGCTGGTTCGAGACGTGCATGTTCGCCCATTTTAGCTGTTCGCGCGTGTCTCCAATCGCGGCATCGAGTCGAAGCACCTCCCGCGCAAGCGAGTCGACCGGCCACGCCACCAGATCGTCGAACGAACGAGGAGCCTCTACCGGAGTTGGAGTTGCAACGCGGGAAGGGCCGGGGACAGCGGGAGCAGGTTCCGCCACCTTTTCCGCCCCTTCACCACCACCCGAAGCGGCCTCAGCCCCCACGACAGGACCACCGCCGACTGGTCCAGCGACGACATTATCCGCGGCGGCCGCGACATCCCTTCCGCTCCCGCCACCCTCTCGCTCGCTTCCCTCCACGCGAGCCCTCCCATGAGATCCGTGTTCGGAGCCCGGAACGTTACCACGGCCTTTGCCAGATTCGAGACCACGCAACTCAAGCGCGAGATCCTGGGCGTGCTTCAGCACTTTCTCGCGTATGAACTTCAGGTTCTTCGGTTTCGTGGCCCTAATCGGAGCCTTCGGGTCTGCCGTCACAACCGCGAATTCACAAAGTACGCGATAAAATCCGTACACTGCGTGAACACCGGTCACTCCTTTCATGTCCTCGATGGAAGACAGATCCTGCGAACGGAAACAACACGGATCAGTATGGCAGGCGATTTTTACGATAATCCGCCTCATTGAAAAAACAACCACGTACCATCGGCACTCGGGCCAAAGCTTTGAAGCGTGGCTCGGCGACTTCGGAAAACTTAGCGGGTCCGAAAGCTTGAGCCATCCCGCGCAGGTAAACTCCAAACCAACTGTCAACGCGAAAAACGCGAGTCATTAGAGCTCCGAAACACACAGCGGAAGTAATGCGGAAACAAGAGTCGCGCTCACTCAATAGCGATCTTTGCGTCCTTTGCGTGCGGATCTGGACCCACGGAAGGGTCAATGTGAAGAATTCGCGTGCGACAAACTTCACCATCCGGGCGTTCGAGATCGCCCGGATGCAAAATGAGCAGGATGCTGCACTTCGGTTCCTCCTCGTCGAGTCTGAAAAGCAAACACAATCAATGGCTGCTTTACTCAGTGCATCGTTGTACCACCCGAAAACGTTACGCGAAAACCATTCGTGACTTACTTGGACCAAAACGGGAAAACGAGCATCTCGTTCTGCATCATGTCCACTTCAACCGTCGAAGTCTCAAGCGCCTTGCGCAATTCGGCGGCCGGGAAAATTCGCGACTTCCGCGTGCGGTCCCCCCCATGTTTTTCGAGTATGGAGCTGAAGAGGGAACGTTAGGACAAGGAGACGAGATTCTCGTAACAAATACAGCCATCTTAGTACCGCGAAACGCGAAAATGACATCACGACACACATACATGCACGCGAAATCGAGGCAGGGGTTCGTGAACTCGGTGTCGTCATCCAGGAGGGACTTCTTGTCCTCAGCCTGCAGCGTCGCGTACGTGCCCCCGCCCTCAATCGTGACGTCAAACATTTGGAGGGACTCCATCGGGTCCAGCAGGTCACGTAGTTCACGGGTCATCCTGGACATTCGAAGTCCACGCACAGGCTACATGAGCAAACACGAACGTCAGTGCAGGCGGAAACACAGCAAGAAAAACGCGCGTGATCGTGCACGAAACGTATTCGAGCGGGCGAGTACACAGCAAGACAATCTTGGCGTGATCGTGTCCGGAAGTTATTCGTGCAGACGAAAACACATCTGGAAAAAACACGCGCGATCGTGCACGAAAAGTGTTCGTGCACGAGTGCGCAAAACCACCACGAATTCCCACCGCAAACAAATCCCACCGCAAACCCACCTGACACAACCCTAAAGTGACATACAACCCCAGGCTCACCTCCCACAAGTCCCCCAGGCTCACCTCCCACAAGTCGATCTGGGCGCTGAAGCGATGGAAGGTTGAGAGCAGCAACAACAAGAAACCAAAATGAAAAAGCAAAAATGAGAGTCTAGCACCCCCCTTCGACCTATTTAGGCCCACGGCCCATTCCAAACCACCGCCCGAACCAGCCTCCGTGCTTGCTTCGGAACGACGAATGAGCAGTGGTGAGCCGTCGCCGTCCCTCGCACCCATGCATTTCACCCACGTGCGCGAAGGCCACTGGCTCGGTTGAGAGTTCTTCGCTGACCGAACCAGGCCCGCTCGAATGTTGGCGGGGGGCGGCTCAATTTTTTCATACCCGGTTGTACTGAACCCGTTTACGCCTATCGCCTGCTTTTTTGCGTGTTGTTTTTCAATACGAGAAGAGGTTTCCGCGAGCACCAACATTGGTTGCGCGGGTAACCCGACGTGGTTCGCGCGATCGAGCCCTGGTTCCGAGCCTGCTCAGAGGCGAGTCCAGTGGTCCCCACCTCGCCGCGTCAGCGTGGCCCGGCTGCGTCAGAGTGGCCCGGGCTGCGTCAGAGTGGCCCGGGCTGGCGTGGGGCCGTCAGGCGTCCCCGGCTCGGGGCCAAGGGTCGGCCGCCCAATCCCGTCGCAGGGGTGGGCGGCCGAGTGCCCAGGCGTGGGTTCGTCGCTTTCCTGGCGTGCCCCGCGTGAGGACACCGTAACCCTCGCCCCATTACGGGGCCCGGGTTACGGAGGCCCGAGCGGGATTACGGACCGTTTTTCCTCTAGGCGCATTCATGCTGGTTGCATTGCGCGGATGTTGCTGCCCCGCATAACTTGTGCGGAGGCTGATGCTAGCTCCCCTTCCTCTGCTGGTTGGGATAAACTTATGCGGACATTTGTCTGGTGAGGAAGCGTGCAGGAAGCCTGGTGAGGTTGACGTTGTGCGAACCAACAAGTGGTGTTCTGTTGGCACTCGCGTTTATTGTTATGCGGTCAGGCTCGGAAAGATTCGGCATATCCCGAACCTTGATAAAACAATTTCTGCTTATCTCAGAAGATTCCGCGCTATTTGATTCTGTTGTTTTAGACATCAGGTTTCCCGACCCCAGCACGCTGCAAGCGGAGATGCAGGCGGTGGCGGTGCAGCGAAGGCGGAGATGCTTGGCGGTGGTGATGCAGCGAAGAATACAGATAGAGGTGTGGTGTGGTGGTTGATAGGTGCGAAGGTTTGGGCGTGGTGGTTGATAGGTGTGCGAAGGTTTGGGCGTAAATGATTTCGTTCGTTTGCTCGAATCCGCGAACAACCCATCGGGCTTTGAACTTGTAGGTCTACCCGTCGGCATGGCAAACCTAGCCCTGGAATTCAAGGGCCACCAGGGCAAACGCCCTGCTGCTAGCGACAGGCCTGGGCACTGAAGTCAAGCACCCCCAAACTTCAGTGCAGCAAATCCCTGCCATCAGTCCTTCAAATATCATTGTACACCCTCTCTCGCGCCAGACTGACAATGGGATGCACTAGCTACAGTGCGTACTGTTGCTTGGACCGTAGCGATCTGGTGCTTGGAACCGAACCCGAGCTAGGTGGCAGGATTTCTGCTAGCTCGGACGATCCGGGCCCCTGTAAAAAAAAAACCTGTAAAATCCGAGCCAGCGAAAAATCCGACCACGACAAAACCTGGATAAGTGCTAGGGAGGCTGGAGATGAAGGAGCGGCTCTAGAGGTGTGGGAGAGAGACTTACGGGCTGGTCCAAGAAGCACCTGATGACAATCAGGGCTCCTCTAACACCTTGTAATTTCAGTCAAAGCAGGGTTATTGCCCTGATAACAAAAGCCCTGCTCCGGAGGAACGGTACACAACGTTATGTGGAAGAAAGCTTGCTTTTGCGTACGGTTAAGTGCGGCAAGTGTGCATATATGGTATGTGCTGGGACCATTCTGGAGGCATTGAGGTCAGTACAGCCGGGCTGTCAGTATGGCCAATGTCAGTCTGGCGCGAGAGAGGGTGTACACGTCGGTTCTGACACACGTAGGACAGCAACGTGGTCGAATCGAAACACTTCACGCGCACGACGCTTCCCGCCAAGGGCGAACCGCCACTGGAACCACTCCCAGTGAACCAAACCGAAACATCCAACCACGTCCCAGCCCCAATGTTCTGCTTGCGGTTCGGCTCCAACGTGTCAGCGGGGGAAATTGAAAGGTTTCGAGGAAAACTGTGAATTGGCGTGGTATAAGGGATTTGGCTTTGGGTGGAGTTTCAAACCAGGAATTCTGTATGCGGCGCAATCAGGTTTTCGGCGTTGTGAAACGGTCAATACCAATTTACGGTCGGCTAATCGAAACTTCAGAGTGGTCGGATGGGTTTGAGCAAATTCGAACAAACCAAAAAAACAGTTGGCGATAAACATCCAGATTACCGCGGCTTGCTTCCATCGAAGAGCTTCAATCTTAGCCGTTCCGCCATTATCAATTGTCTTCTTCAGCCGTTTCTAGCACGCATCACTTTTGAAACATACTCCAGGAGCTCACTGTAGCCCGTTCTTAACTCCCAACTTAATCGGTCAGCGACGCATCCTCTATTCCGCCCTAACTCCATGTTCTTGGCCGCTCGAAACTGACTTCGAATCATTTACTTCCGCAACTTTATAACTGGTCCGTACTTTGCCGTCGCCACGTCACCATGAAGCAACAATCGCATACTGTGACGTACCTCGCGCTCCTCGTTGTCGCATCGAGCCTCGTCAGCTACGCCGCGGCGCAATGCGGAGTCGTTTGCACCGTTCCCGGCACCAATCTCATCAACAATGACTGCCTTGTCCAGTGCAACGTAAGAAATAACGTCTTCGTCTTTTTCATAGTTTCGAGTCAGCCCCTTAAATTGTGATTCGGCTCAAACATCGGTTTCCGGCACCACGCGGCGTTAACTCCGACCGCATTCCCCAGTGCAGCGTAAGAAAGCATTTCCGTCTCTCTCGTCCTCTTCATAAGTCGACCTCATATAGTAGTTCGGCTCAAACATCGGTTCCCGGCACCGCGCTCGTTAACTCCGACTGCGCTCTCCAGCGCAACGTAAGAAATCCTTTCGTCCCTCCCGACCTCGTTATGAGCCGGCTCATAACTCGTTCCTGGCGACACCACGCTCGTTAACTCCGACTGCGTAGCAGCGCAACGTTAAGAAGCTCTCTTCGTCCCTCCCGCTTGCCTCCCCCAAAGAACTGCGCGTACCCACGCCTTACGGATGTGCCATTTCGCTCCTTTTCTCTCTCCGTTTCCCCTCGCCCCCGCCGCTTCCCCATTCTCTCCTCTCCCCCCTCCCTCCGCCCCCACAGAACTGCGGGTACGCGACACGCTACGGATGTGCAACCTAGCTTCCTCCCCCTCACTCTTCGCCTCGCCCCCGCCCGTTCCCTCCTCTCTCCCTCTCCCCCTCCCCCCTCCCCTCACAGAACTGCGGGTACGCGACACGCTACGGATGTGCCAGCTAGCCACATTCTAATTTCTCCAATCTTTTAGCCTCTCCCCGCTTCCCTTCCGCCCCCCCCCCCTCACAGAACTGCGCGTACGCGACCCGCTACGGATATGCCACCTAGCCACATTCTAATTTCTCCAATCTTTTCGCCTCTCCCCCGCCTCCCTTCCGCCTCCTTTCCGCCTCCCTTCCGCCTCCCGCCCGCTTCCCTTCCCTCCCCCCCCCTCCCCCCTCCCCTCACAGAATTGCGCGTACGCAACACCCTACGGGTGTGCCACCTACTTCCAGCCCTTTTGGAACTCCGGTGGTGAGTGACTCCGTGGGTTGAGTATAAGAAGTAACGACGGGTAACGAGTATGGCGTGCCGGTGATTATGATATCGTACGACTCGTTAAACTCGGAATATCGCACGGAGTGGTAAGTATAACACGTGAAGGACGAGTATTGCGTGCAGCAGTAACGAGAATATGACTATAAAGAGGGAATACGGTATTGTATGCGGTTGAGTGTAACAAGAATCGGACGATAGCGTGAGTAGTAACTCCCAGTCGCCCCAATCCCCCCACTCTCCCCTCTCGCCGCAATATCCCCAGTCGCCGTAATTTCCCCGCGCTCCGCACACGCCCCAATCTCCACGCTCTCCCTACACGCCTCACTCGATATTGAGACGCCTCAAAACTCGATTTTGTGACGTGTCGAAACGAAAGCTGAAGCTTCAAGCAAATGACCGCTTCCCTCCCTGCACTCACTCGCTTCCATCCTCCTGTCCCCTCTCCAGCCTCTCTCCCTCTTCCACCCCCCTTTCCTCCTCCCCCTCCTCCTGCGTGTTTTCCTACCCTAACTCACTCACCGTGCTTTCACCCTCTTTCGTCATACAATCTTCAGAACTTCGTTTCAAGTGCCTCAATATTTCTATTTTCCCCCGAACATACATGAAAGGCACTTGCGAGAATTCTCAAAATTTTAATCCTCTTTTTGGCGTGTCTCAGAACTTTCACCCTCTATCGACTACACGAATGTCACTCGTGAGAATTCTTAAAACTTCCCTCCCACCTTACATCATCACTTCACCGTTTCCTCTCTCCCCTTCCCCCTTGGCTGCTTTCCCAACCCCACACATAACACCTTACATCATCACTTCACCGTTTCCTCTCTCCCCTTCCCCCTTGGCTGCTTTCCCAACCCCACACATAACACCTTACATCATCACTTCACCGTTTCCTCTC